GTTTTCAGCTTGGAACACTCAAATCCTGCCTTCGGCTATGCAGTCAGCTGGGACTTGGCGCGTTTGTCGATTCTCCTGGTATTACCGCATGCGGGGCTCGAACCCCCGGTTGCAAGATTAACAGTCTTGCACTCTGCCGACTGAGCAAAAGTGCCCGCGAGTTGTTGTACATCCGTGTCTATTAGCCTTCTGGGCCCTGCGATTTGGTGGCTCATGGACAGAATTGTCACTAAGGTGTTAATCCTCACCCCGCAATCTCCTTTAGGTTAGATCTTTAGTGTTTAACAGAATGCTGGGTTGCCATCGAGGCGAACAGGATTCGATTTCGGGCAGACACACATTATGAATGCTTTCGATGTTCGCAACGTTGTCGTGGTTTCGGTCGGGCCCACTGGGGTACCGAGGCAATCATTCCGGTTTCTTCCCTATTTGGACTACCTACGTGGGTCGGATCGGCAGCTGTCAGACCAGATTTGATCTTGGTGCCATTTCCCCTGTCCGGTCCTACAGCACCACGTCCCAGCGCACCACTCCAGCTAACCACTGCTACTTGATTCTCCTTCCCCTTGCTGTAAATAATCTGTAAATCAAATTCATCTAATGAGGAGTTCCAGCGTGCTATACGGCCCTTGTCACAATTTCGCATCAAACGGAGGGATTCATCCGTTCGAATCGGTTCGATTCCCGCTCCTACCATCACTCCCGACCACACGCTGCACTCCGGGTTGTAAACATCCCACGAACCTCTCAAACGCGATGGCAGGGGACTGGAGCTGTAATTTATGTGAGGTCTGTGAGCAAGGACTGACATCCACTTGCTGCTACCTATTCGCTTCGAAGGTGAGTTAGCGGAGTGATCGACTAGTTTCATTGAAGCCAGTTACGCGCTCAGTGCGCTCACAATTAATTACCCAACCAGAATACATGAAGCAGGATTCGAACCCGCGCATGCACTGCATGGTAGAACTTGAGTCTACCCCCTTGGGCCACTCGGCATCCGTGCGTAGAGACGACGGAATTTAACTTACTGACAGTTAGCTGAGGTTGACCACTGAAAGTCACTAGCTCCACCGGGGACCATTTTTGCGTTCAACAACTCGCCCCGTAAAGAAGACTATCACAGTGGCTCCAACACGGGTTTCCGGTTGAGCCGGACCAGGCCGGTTCAAATCCAGTAGCTGTCGATGAGGGTACAAGTGATACGGACCCGAACCTGGGGACCGGATTCGGAGACCTTTCACCTACCATTGGTCCGCCGTGACAGTTCTATCCGTAAGACCCTGCCTCGCCTGAGAACGGGAAAGTGCTGATTCGATCTGTGAATCAAGGGGTGGCGCAAGGAAGTCCTCTGCCGGAATCGGGCCGGCGACTCAGCCCTGAGCTGAGCAGGCTGGCGACTGCCGGTGCACAACCTGAGGCTGCTTCACAGACTGAAGGTGTTGTTGACATCTGCCCTGCACACACGTAATAAGCTTCTCCACAAGGAGAGCAAATGATGTATTTGGAGCCTTCTACGTGACGGCTCAGCATTTTGGCGGTCGTGGTCTAGAGGTTATGACGCCTGCTTCACACGCAGAAGATCCCGAGTTCGATCCTCGGCCACGTTGATTGTACTCTAATGGCCCTATAGACCACCACCACACATGGTGGATCGGTTGATGTACTTGGGAGTTCTTGGCGGGAGTGAGACTCGAACCACGATATGCTAGGTGGTCTATATGCTGGGTGGTTCGGCCGCACCATTGTTCAGCGCTCACCCCATTAGGCTGTGGAGGCAATCTGTTCGGTTTCGTTGCTAGTTGAACTGTGTGTGGGT